TGTGTGTGTGTGTGTGTGTTGAGGGGGGCAGATATGGGACTAAAGACTCAGAGATAGAGCCAAGGAGGCTGAAGAGATGTTTTAAGGTATGTAGAAGGTGGGGTGGGGCAGAACAAGGAGCCGGGGTGCCACTGTAAGAAGCTTGAAGAAATGGTGTCTTGGATCTGTTTTGGAAGCAGACCAGAGTACAGTGGGTAAATTGGGTTCTAAGGCAAGGTCAGAACACCCAAGGAGCCATTAGGGCTTACGATCTAGGATGGAAATGAAATATCTTCTTGCCCACCCCTCCAAAGCTGGGTCTATTTTCTGACCTGTAGGTGATGAGGCTTTTGAGCCTTATCCTAGGTCCTCACACTTGGAAACAAGCCCATCCCTCTAATCTGATTTCCCAATCTGCCTCCAGGTCCCCTATACCTGCACCACCCCACACTGGGAACTGGGTGAAATCTGGGCTACTTCTGACCTCTTGTTCACTCTTGGAACACCCCCAGCCAGCTAGCACCTCCCCCACCTCCCAGAAAGGCTCCTCTGGTCCTCTGCTTGGGAAGCCACATTCCTGGCATAACTGGGGCAGGTATGTGCCCCTCCCTTTGCATCACCTTTGGGCAAGAGTGGCTGCTGCTCCTTCTGGAAAGGGACCTCTCACTCTGACAAAGCTTTGTCAAGGAAGTGGAGAATCCTCTTCACTGACAATTAAGGGCACAGAGCATAGGCCCACCACTGTCCTCACCCTGTTTCTAGAGAAGATTGGATTGGCACCTCCCTGAAGCCCCCAGGAGAGACACAGCCTGGCTGGGGACCTGCACTTCCCTACTATAAATCAGGAGCAGAGAAAGGAAGTGTTGTCTGTTCCAGCCAGCACCTGGCACAAGGACAGGGAAGGGGGCCCAGGTTGAGTGAGCCTGGCACCTGACCAGCCTGGCCCTTCTCAATTCTGAAGCTGGGGTCTTGGTGACTCCCTTGTTCTGGGCTGGCCAGATTGGTTCTGCCCTTTGTCTCTGGTAGGTCAGCTATCCAGAGCTTTCAGGAAGAGTAGAAGAGCTCTAGGTCCCAAAGTGGTGGATAGGAGCAGCCTGACCCTCTAAGGCTGGCTTCTGGTACTGGGGTTGCCTAGGATATTGTGACGGTTCCTAGACGGTTGGGAGGACTGCCTTCTAGGCTAGGCTTAGACTCCCATTGCCATTTTCCTTCCCCTCACCTCCCCCACATTCCTTCTGCTGAGGGGGGAGGTGGCTCTCCCTTTGGACTTCAGGTTCTCTACCACTCTACAACCCCACCCACAGTCCTATGAGGGCCCCTCCCCCAGGCATGTCCAGGCTGGAGGCTGCTAGAGCTGGAGGCTACTGGCGGTCCCCACTGCTTTTTGCCCAGAGAGAAGGGCCTGCCCAAGTAAGGAAGGGCCTCCTCTTTTCCATGTCGGAGTTCTAGTAAGAAGTTGGCTGCAGAAATGGACTTGTCTCATCTTTGGGCTCACTGAGGCAGCCTTGGGGGTGGGCTTTGCTTGCTGGAATCAATGAATGCTTCTAGGTGGGTGACAGGCAGGATACTATTAGTTCTGTGGAGATGGCCTCCCATTGGGCAGGCCAATAGGCAAGATGGAGCTAGTGGAAGTAACTTTTGGCTTTTTCCAGACCCATCCTGCTCTCCCATCCCTACCCAGAGAAGATGCCCCCCATCACCCCTGTCAATTAGAAATGGGGAGGGATGTTTTAAAACCACTTCTGTTACTTGGATCTTTCTGGACAAAGCAAATTCTGTTTCCACCCGCTTGAGCCCTCATAGCAATCCTGCAGACATGGGATCCCCATTGCAGACCAGACAAACTGGGACACCTACACACTGACCCAGGTCTAAGGCTACTGTCAACCCAGTTCAGGTCCGTAGTTACTCGTTAGTTCCTACAAGCTACAGTAGGATAGTATAGGGTAGAGTTACTCAGAGAGTAGGTCGAGGACATACCCAGGACCACAGGTTCAGGAGGGTCCTGTATCACTGATTTATAAGGACCCTCTATTGTTTCCTAGGCCTGGTTGCTATGCACAAGAGGCAGAAGTCACAAAAGGGTAGAAAACAGCTAACTTTTTTCTCCTGTGATTCTCAGGTCAGCTGTTTACCTCAGAGTGGAGATAGAGCACTAAACCATTGATGCCCTGGTGGGTTGGACTAGGGGCTACCACAACAGTTGTCATAGTAATCCTGCTCATTTGGGGCAGTTACCAGCTAGAAGAAGAGGGCTCTATGCCCCCTATACCTCCTGGGGTTCAGGAGTAGGCCATGTGTGACCCTTGTTGGAAGCTGGGAGAGCTGATAAGGTCAGTGGTGGAGGACCAGGGATCAAGGGATCTTACCCCTCCCACCCTCAGCACAGATCCTGAGAATTTCCTCTGAGGAAGGCCCCCTGCAGGGACAATTTACCAGGGAATAGAGATGGCCCCTCCCTGGCCTGGAGGCAGGGAAGATAGGGAGGCTCTGTCTTTACAGGCTGGGCTGTTTCCAGCTGTGTGAACTTTATGTAGATATGTATGCCTAGGCCTGCAATTGGGGGGAGGCGTAGTTGTCACTATCTTGGTTTTTCTGGGTTTATGTCTAAGTGGTCAGGTCCTGGTTGCTGACTTCACGTGTATGTGAATCTCAGCATCTGTTTGCTATTGGTTCTGTTGGGTCCAGTTGTGCTGGAGAGTCAGGGGCACCTTTTGTGAGCTCTGCCTCTAGGAGTGACTGAGGTGTATTGGAAACATTTAAAATGAGGGATGTGTTTGGTGAGCTGCTGTGAGGACAGGAGACCAGAGAATTTAGTCACTGACCTTTACAAGCCTGTCAGACCCTGAGGCTGACGCAACCCCCTTCCTTCCTCCCCTCTGCCCTTGCTAGCCCAAGGTAAGTTGGTAAGTTTGAGAGTGCTCTTGACCACCACATCCTAGATCCCAGAAAATGTAGGCTAGCATTATGCCAGTTCAGGCTCCTGTACCCACAAGTGAGGTTCCAGCACATATGGAAGAACAGAGCACAAACACCATATTGGTAGAACGGTTGAGATACCTGTCTCCTACTGTGGAAAAGAAGCCATCAGGTATAATAAGTGGCTTGTGGTGTCTTCCATCATTAAATCCATCAGTTCCTTCTTGCCCATGTCCAATCACCATTCTACAACCATTCCCTGTGGGGTTCGTGGGGCATCTGCTGTTGCTGGTACCCTCAACAGAGTCCTGCTGGTAGTTTTAGTGGCTTTCCAAGGAGCAGTGAGTTTGGATAAAGGTGAATGAAAGGAATAGTGGGTGGTTGCTGCTACCTGGGAAAGAGTAGATAAGATGCTGTGAGTGTGAGGAAAGGAGAGTACTATTCTCCAACATCCTGTCCCCTGGCTGAGAGAGCAAGCTAATCTCTTTCTGGGATGGCCTTCCTGCCTATCTGCTGATCCCAAGTAGGAATCTGCTGATTCTGCAGTAGGAAAGTTCTTCCTTGCTTGCCCCAGCCTCCTTCCTCTCTGGATCTGTCTCTGCTCCTCCTTCTTGGACCTCTAGTCCTCTGTCCCCGCTACTGCCTTTCCTTCTCATCCTAATAACTGGCTGCCCACCACCTCCATGAAGCCCTCTGGAACCATTGGGCCATAGGACCCCTGCTGTGTTTACCCCTCTCCTGTATCTGATATCTCTAACTTAACTCAGCACAGCTGGAGTATTAAGCAGGGATACCAAGGTCTCCTGACTCACCAAGCACTCACTGATCACAGGTGGGTGTCACCTAGCTCCTTCCTTTTCCTCCTGGAGATAAGTAGGGACTGGCAAAGCTGGGTTTGGGTAAACCTAAGGAACAAGAGGGATAGCATGAATGTCCTACCTTCACTGCCTTTTCATCAGTACCTGCTCAGCTGGCTGTTCTTGATCATTCTGGAAAATGCCCAGGTCCATGTTGGAGTTCCCCAAATCTGAAAGGTTGAGGATCTGCATTAAAGACTCTGACCCTGTGACAGCTGTGGCCCCACTCATCACTTGGTCAATGTGCAGATTTCACTTCACCCATCTGACCTCCATTTGAAACTGCCATGATGTCTTCCGGAAGCCAGACAGACACACTTAACTTCTTAGAGAGGTGTAAACGAGCTGATAAGTTTGTCAGAACAGCCCCATGTTGAGGAGCCTAGCCAGCCAAGGAATAGAGAAGGGGCAATCTGGCAGCATATTGGCTACCCTAAAAGACATCCCTATTGTATCCCAAATTTTAATTTTATCCAACCACTCTGTAGAACAGGATAACTGTCCAGGTGGGTGGGTGGGTGAGTACAGATCTGACCTAGGCCTGGAGGCTCCCTCATGCTGGCAATTGACCAGGGCCGAGTGCCTCTGTCCTGCTACGAAGTGCCTGTTGTCCTCTGAGGTGAGGAGGGAACAGAGAAAAGTCAAGGTACAGTTTGAGGCCAGACACCGGAGGTGTAAGATAGTACTGCCCTGCCCCCACCATGGCAGCCAGAACTGAGTCCATCCAGTACCTCTATTAACCTGAGCGATGCATGCCTAGAAATCCCCACCACCAAAGAGAGCAGGTGAGCCTCACCCTGGCCTGACCAGAGGTCAGAGGGTGGGGCATGTCTACTTGCTGGGTGAGACCTATGCATTGGGAAATGAGTGTGTGCTGAGTGTCCAGATAGGCAGCTTTTTCCATGGACTCCTCTCAGTCATCGAACCCCTAACTCTTTACCTTCTTTTGTAAGGGAGCCGAAGGCTATCTAGAAAGGGAGAAGGACTCTGTACCCTCTCCAGGCCCCATCCTCCAACCTCCTCTGGTCCTGAGAAGTACCAGAGCATAGGGCCACACCTATTATGCCTGGGAATGAGGGACAAGCTTTGTGCTACACAAAGAATGTCTAGTGTGTATGTTGGCAGGTGGGGGATACAATTCCTGCAAGCTTGAGTGACTGCTGGAAAGCAGGAGTACTTAGTGTCTTGGCTCATATATGTGGTTGCATGTTGGTAGGGTGTGAGCCCAGAGGGGTAAGCCTAGATCAGCATCCTGTTCATTCCTGGGCATGAGCCTGCTGGGCAGTCTAGGCTGAATGATTTTGTCTAAAGATCCCAAAATAACTCCAGTAGCCTGTGCTCCCCTCCCCCCACTGGCCTAAAGCCTCAAAGGCTCTTTGTTTTTTGAAGGCATCCTGCCCCTGCAGGGGGCTCAGACACTGACTGGGGTTTGGTGGGGCCAGGCTGCCTGCCTAGTTCCCTTTCCCATGGCTAGGCCCAGTAGACCTCAAGCCCCATTCCAGTGTTGCCCAGGACTGACAAGAACCCCATATGAGCACTGAAAAAAAATTATTGAGACCTCTTCAGTGGCTCTTCTCAGGGTTTCTGCTTGGTGAAAGGGGGTAAGCAAAGTTTATGGCAAATTTCCCAAGATCACTTGAGGCTTCTTCTGCTAGCTCTTGCCTGGAGTTTCTACTACTAGTGGGACCCAGCCCTCCAAGACCCTGGTTCCTGCGCTTCCTGTAGAGAGCACACTGGGACACTCCAGGGCTGAAACAACATATCCAATAGTACCGTGTAGCCTGCTGGGTACTTGTTCTCTGGCACTTTCTATGGGGCAGCGAAGCAAACATATATGAGCGGTGCCGCACTCTCCAATTGTAAGTTCTCTTGACTTTCTAGGAGCTAAGAACTCAGACCCTGTTTCTGGTACTGGGGGAGCTAGCATCACAGAAACTACTTCTGTGTCACTGGCATTGCCAAGGTCCAATAGGAGGCACTCAGGGCCAGAGCTCCCCTGAGGAAAAGGTGAGGCCATCTAGAAGTGGAGTTTCCCAGTAGTTAGATCTGATGCTGTCCTAGACTGCATGCATAGGGCTCATAAACCCAGCTTTATTTCAGAGTTTCCTGCAAAATTTCATTAGAAGATTTGAGTTTGGGGCCACAAAAGATGGAAAACCTCTTATCATGGGTGGCGAATGAATGACCCAGCAGGATTGCATTTTGTGCCTGGCCAGAGGATGGAAAGGCTTGGAAACAGAGAAGATATGGTGTTATCAACTGGGGTAGAGAAATTGTCTGACAGATAAAAGGGAGTGGGCACACTGGGGGTGCCAAGTATCTGACCAGAGGGGTCTTAGAGAGGTTTCAACTGTAGATAATATGGAAATGGAGCCATTTCCAGTCAACATGCAGTGAATGTAGGGTCTTAGTGCCCCAAGCAGGGTTGGTTGAAGGATGGAATAGAGGAGCCCCACAGACAGAGATGTGGTTTTCTCAAGATGAACTGAGATGAGGTTTGAAAGTAGCCATAGTTGGCTGAAAAATGGGGCCTGCTGACAGCAGATGCAGAAGCCTGACTAGAGTCTTGAGTTGTGGATACCATGTACCTGTTAGTATAACCCAAGTGTGTAGTATGGGGGCTGTTAGTGTGATTTCAGCTGAGATGAACACTTAGCAGGAGGGTGGCTGTGTCAAGTGTAGATAGTGCAGAACCTGCATACTCCCCAAGCTTGTGGACAGCTGGGGGATCTTTCCCCACAGAGACCAGGAAAGGAGCTCCCTCACAGAACCTAGGTGGGCTGTGCCTCTATCCCAAACCCTTTGCCCCAAATGGTCCTGTTGGAGTCTGCAAAGTAGCTTGGGGTGGGGGTATGCTCCAGAGTCAGGCTCTAGGGATGGCCAGAGTTCAACAACTATTTGTATGGGCTTATATGCATGTTTTCTCATTGCTGGGGAGTTGAGTGAATGGGTGGCTTAAGATGTTATATTCAATTACAAGGGGAAGGGTAGGTGGGATGATTTCTGAACTCATCACCTCATCCACCTGAGCACCTTACATGCTACTTGGGGACCCCCGCCTCGATGCCAAGGCAGAGCCTACCGGATCAGAAACAGCAGGCACTGGCATACTGCATGCATAAGCACAAGCAGACCAAATCCCAGAGCTCAGTCCTTCCTACAGGCTCAAGCCCCTTATGGTGTGACTCCCAGCCAGGCATTAAGAGTGATAACGGAGTACTGCCTCTGCCCACACAGCAACCTCAGCCTCATTTGGCTGCCTCCTGCCCAGCTTCCTCAGTAGCTTTCATGGGGTGGGGGCCAAGCAATTGTCTCCTCTCCAGGCCCAGCCTCTGCTCCCCTATAAACACTTAGCCCACTCCTACTTCTCCCCCGTTCTCCAATTTCCAGACCCATTGCCCTCCCATCACTTGTCCCTCCCTTGGTCCCTGTCCTCCTACCAGCACCAACCCTCCCCAAGCTTCTACCTCTACCCAGAGCTGATCTGTCCCTTTTGTACATTTTGCATCCTGATCTTAATCCACCCCAGCCTCTATGCTCCCAACTGCGACTCCCTGTGGACGCTAGAGTCCCCAGAGACATCTTCCTTTGTCTCTGCTCACCGCCCCCGCCCCCTTGGCTTCCCTCGCCCCTCACTCACTGCCCCAGCCCAGCGAGGACAAGAAGAGCTGCACTGCCTGCCGCCGCTGTTGCTGCCGCCGCCGCCGCCACTGCCACTGGAGGTGGGCAGGCGCCTCCGCGATTCTTTATTCTCTCTCCAAAGCCAAGCCCGTTGCTCCTCCCGCTGCTGCCATCGTGCTCCCGCCTCTGCTAGGCAGGAGCAGACAGGCCCTGCACCGGCGCCCCTGGTCTCTGGGGCCTTCCCTGCATTTCAGACTCCAGGAGCTACAGAGGACAGCACTGGCTAGTGGGCGGAAGAATTGTAGCCAACAGGGGTTGCCTTGGCTCTCCATCATCGTTTGCCTGCTTCTGAGCTCACATTTGGGATTTCTACTTGGAGAGAATTCTGCTTATCTCCCACCATGATCCTGGAGGGCTGGGGAGGGCCCAGTGCTCCCCCAGCCATAACTGGCTAAACTTTGAGATCACAGCTGCCATCTGCTGCTCCAGGGTACCCAGCATGGGGGGAGTAGCTCCGAAGAGGCCCAAGGGCACTCCATAAGAACCCCCACACCCAAGAAGTGGGCTAGAGCTGTATCATGCCTCCTCTGCCACTGGAACACAGGCCCAGGCAGCAGCCTGGTGCCTCCTTGCTGGTTCGGTACTTCATGATCCCCTGCAACATCTGCTTGATCCTGTTGGCTACTTCCACGCTGGGCTTTGCGGTGCTGCTTTTCCTCAGCAACTGTACGTGGCTGCTGGGTGTACCCTTGTTCTGCTCAGTGAGCCCCTCATCTCAGTTATCAAGGGTTTCAGGGCAGACAGGGTCATATCAAATCCAGGGGTTGTTGTAGATGGGGCACCTTTTCCTTCTGGTTATTGGATAGGTCACACTAAATTCCTGGGCTTCTTAAACCTATTCTTAGACTTCTAATGGTGCAGACCTTCAACCTGAGCTGCAGAAAACTCTGTGGGAATTGGCAAGGGTAGGTACATCAGTGCTGTGATTGGGAGCAGGGGCAAGAGATGGACTTATCCAGAGAAAGCAGGTGGCTGTGAAGTTCAAGAGGCAGAGAAGGACCAGGGCCTCCTCTGTCTGTTCTGCATTTGTCAGTGACCTTCCCAGCCTTGCTGATTATAACTGGAGCCTTAAGGAGTGGTTGTGAGTGGGCAATATACATGCTCAAAGGAACCTAACTTTTTTCCCCTCCTCTAGACAAACCTGGAACCCACTTCACAGCAGCGCCTCCTATGCCTCCTGATGGTGAGTGGCGGTGGTTGGGGCAGGTGGTTGGCACACTGATAATGGGGTGTGGGGGGGAATGGACAGGGTTACTAGGATTAGGACTGTTTTGTAATGTGTACACCAGGTGTATTTGGAGTAGGAAGCTGGGCAAGGGAGCCTGGATCCCTTCCAGGGAGTCCATAGGGGCCTTTAGGTACTGGTCAATATTCTGAGCAGGATCAGTCTTAGAACCTACAAATTGAGAGATAATGTCAGAGGATTTGTGTGAGGTTTGGATGGACCACTGAAGTCAGTCTGTTTGTGGAGGGATTCCTTTTCTTTGTCTTTTTCTCTATTCAGGAAAGGGTGGGGCTGGAAACAGACAGAAGGGAAAGTGGATTGGGTAGTGGGGGAGGGCTCAGTAAAGCTAGTGACAGCTGCTAGAGGGCCTAGGTCTGACCCTGGAGTGGGGGAGGGAGCAAATGATGGAGGGGGCAGGCTGACCTTTTTTATGGCATTGTGGGCTGGGGCCAGCTCTCCCAGAGCGGCTGCTAATGTGTAGGCTTCTGTAACTAAGTTAATGAAGACGAGGAGCTGACCAGTGTTAGGAAAAAAAAAAAAAAAAAGCAGAGACTAGTAGGAATAGACTGTATCTCAGCTAGCCCAGCCTGGCTCCTTACAGCAAGAGGGGTACAGTTCCCAGCCCTGTCCTTGGTACCTACTACCCCATCAACTCTGCTGCCTGGGCACCTGACTAGTTTTGTAGAAATCATATGTCTTGTGTTAACTTACATGTGGCAGAGCCATGGTTTCTGGTGTTTTTGGTTTGAGGTCAAGGGTTGAGACAGGGTCTCTATATAGCACTGGCTGTCCTAGGATTTACTATGTAGATCAGGCTAGCCTCAAACACACAGAGGTCCTCCTGCCTATGCCTCTCAAGTGCTGGGATTAAAGGCGCATGCCACCATGCCCAGCCATGGTTTCTGTTTTGATCAGGATATGGGTTGTGGGGACTTCAGGAAATCCTAGGATTGAGGTTGTGGGTGTCATTATGAGAATCGACCCTGTTGTTTTCTTTCTAGAAAGCAGCCCTGGGTTACATAGATAGTCGGGGTTATTTTCTGGGTCTTTAGAGTAGAGGAAAGTATCCTGGCACTGATAAGGCCTCCCTCCTTCTGTTCTAAACTAGGAAGTCAGGATTAAGGTAGGACTCTCTGGGGGCCTCAGCAGTCTGTAAAACCAGGGAGTTTCCTTGGGAATGGGGAGCCCAGACATCTAAGAGTGGGAACTTGATTCAGATGCAGGATATCAGAGGGTCTCTCCTACCTTTTGATGGTCAAATGGAGAAAGAAAGGTGTCTGTAACCAACTGCCCTTCCTTTATTCCCTGAGTCTATAATGTTAGCAAGCTGGCAGTGTGTTTTTTGACTCACTTGGCCAATAGGCTTTTGGTCCCAAGGACTGCTAGTTGGGCAGTGTTGGGGTATAGTGGGAATGGAGGCTGATAGTGAGTGATATAGGTGCTTCTGACCTAACCCTAGGCTCTGGTTTTATGGCCCTAAGTCTTCATCCCTGACACCAGTGTCCTTCCTGAGCAGCTGCTCCCCCAAGATCTGAAAGGCCCTTTAGAGTCCCAAGCCCAGACTGGGTTGTGGTAAGCTCTGCCTGGGAAGTTATTATCAAGGCAGTAGGATACCACTGTGTGCTCTATGACCTTCACTATTACTAGAGTTGCAGAGACTATTGACTGAGTTGATGGATGAGTACGCAATCTGCCTGTTGGGATGGGAAGCGGGAGGAAGTGACTCTCACTTCTCCACATTTTTAAAAAAGGGACTAAATCACTCCCAGTGAGGTGGGATGTTAGTAGGTGGAATGTGCCCTTCAGTGTGGTGCATGAGGTTGGGGCTGAGTGTTTACAGACTAGGGGCAAGAAGCCTAGAGCTGTCTACATTCAAGGTAGGCTCAGGAGGGAAGAGATCTTCCAGATGTCTTCTATTCTTTATACACACTGCATTCCCCACAATTGTACATGCAAGCCCCTTATTGATATCCAGCACTTGCTTTATACACTTTAGACATAGGCCATGGCCCATGGGCAACCATCTGTTCCATCTCCAACCTACCAAAGACAAGTAAAGAAGTTAAATATACTCTCTACTACCATGGTAGATATAAAAAGTACAGGACATCTCCAACATCATATGGAAAGATTGCCTGTATAGGAAACTAGGAGACCATGGAGAAGTTCCACAGGGACTAAGGAGGACACTTAGTGGGCGACACAGATATGATCCATTAGAGACTGTTGAATCATAGGTGCCCAGGTGTGCCACCTGTGTTTATGAGAGGCAGTGTGGGGAAGTGACCAGGAGCATAGATGGGAACTGAGCTAACCTCTGGTGTTTATTAGGGATATGGCTTTGTCAGGAAACCTCACTAAGCCTCTACTTTCTTTCCTGATATGTGGGCATTGCATGATGATACTTGAGTGGTGCCTGAGGTTCAGAGCTATTACAACAGCTCTGCCTGCAATGTGCATGCATGTAATTACTTCATCCATACCTGTCTTCAGGTGGTCTCAGATTGGGCCTGTTCTAACATTTAGTTAAGAAACTTGTCTTGGGAGCTGTGAGGTGGTGGCTCACACCTTTTAATCCCTGCACTCTGGAGGCAGAGACAGGCATATCTCTGAGTTCAAGGCCAGCCTGGTCTACAGAGAGAATTCCAGGACAGCCAAGATTACAAAGAAACCTTGTCTCAAAAAAACAAAACAAAACAAAACAAAACACAGAAACTTGTCGTGACCATGGATGGTAGTGTGCACTTTTTTTTGTTTGTTTGTTTTGTTTTTCGAGACAGTTTTTCTGTGTGACAGTCCTGGCTGTCCTGGAACTTGCTCTGTAGACCAGGCTAGCCTCTAACTCACAGAGGTCCTCCTGCCTCTGCCTCCAAGCACTGGGATTAGGTGGTGTGCATTTTTAACCCCAGCACTCAGGAGGCAAAGGCAGGTGGATCACTGAGTGTGAGACCATCCTGATCTACAGAGCAAGTTCCAGGACAGCCAGGGCTATAGAGAGAAACCCTGTCTCAAAAAAAAAA